TCTTTGGTTGTCAATTTACCGTTTTACTTATCCTCAAAACTAACAAAATGATTAGCTCCAATGAAATTAGATTGCAATTTTATGAAGAAGTCTATCTAATCATAAAGCTAGCACTTCCATCTTAATTGTTTACCTTCGGCTTTTTTGCCTTTCTTTTTGTGCCATTTATAAATCATTTAAAATGCTGAAAATGTTTATATGCACTTTGAAACCAACATCCTTTACATATAATACTATCGTTTAACAAATAAAGCACCAAAATTATTCTCTTTCAACATCATGTATTATAGAATGTATTAAAAAGTTTTGATCTACAATTTTTAAATCCAACGTGAGTATTCTCTAAGTAACATGGTCAGCGATGAATTAAAAAAGAAAGTTTTTGCTGATCATCTTTTTAGGAGAATCTATCTTAGAAGAGGAGAGACAATTAGAGTTGGGGATTTAGGTTCACTTTTATTTGTCCTCAAGGTGGAACAAAGAAAATTGTCGCTGAAACACTAGAATAAAAAATGGATTGTCACTGGGTCGAATGATCCCTGCCTCCAGCATCTCTCTGATCAATTTTGCGATCTCATCCTTCTGGAGTTGGGGAGAATGGTACGGATGAACACGGATATGTGAGAGTCCTTCCTTCAAAATGATAGCATGCTCGTATTCTCGCAGAGAAGGCAACCCTTGAACTGGCTGGAACACCTCTCGATACTGTTGTAGGAATAGATGAACCATGTCTGGTGCTTTTATCCTTCCCCCATCTTTTTCTCCTTCTAAACTCTGTAGCTCCACCAACTATCTCACTCATTCACCATTTTCCCTTCTTGGAAGTGGCTCCAAATGTGGCATCTCATATTCTTTCACCATAATTTTTACCTCCCGATCCTCCCTTATCGAACTCCTCCCGATCTCCTTTCCCTTAGATTTGGCCAAGGGAATTCCGGCCAAATCTTTGTTAGGTTTAGCAATCGAAACTGCCATTGGTGTTCCGGATTGTATCTCCATGAGCTTCCTTAATATCTCCTCCACCTTTCCCAATCAGTTTTCCATAGATGTAAACCTTCTTTCCATGGTTGAGAACTTTTTCTCCACATTGGATTTGATTTGCTCCATCTTCCTTTCCAACGCCTCGACCTTCTTTGTTGTCATAGGTCCCAAAAAAGTGCTCTAATGCCAATTCGATACACCTTGGAGTCAATTTCAGCAAATCACAGCAGAAAATCCTCAGAAAACAACAGAATTTGGAGGAAATAGTGGTTGATTTCGATTAATAACTCAACAAGAAACAAAAGATACAAGCGATCTACAACTAGAGAGGTAGATCGTCTCTCACAGTCAACCTAGATGCCATTAGGAAGCCCTCACAGAAGAAACTACAACATAAAACTCCAAAGAAAACATAACCCTTACACAAAATAAAATCCCTATATAAGCTCCTACTCTTCTTTCCAATTCTCCTACTAACATATGGAATAATTGGTTTATTGGCCCCCACAAGGGGGAAGAAATTTCAGCCCTTTTGCCCCCCATGGCTGGTCCACCCCTGGCTACTGGGCCGGTTGTAGGACCGGTCCTGCTTGACTGGTCGTAACAATATCACCCCTATTATTTTCTTTATTATTTTATTCTCTCTCTCTCTTCTGTACTATGTAGACATAACAGCTCCACTTAATATTTCTCTTAAACTTACTCAACTGTCTTTGCAAAGAATGATTGAAGCTCCAACTAGTATTTGTGTTTGATTCATTAACTTATTGAGTCTCATGCAAGCTATTCATGAACATGAATACTATTTGAAAGTCATAGATAAATTCAATGTTTAAAATTGCGTAATTAGGTATTGAGACATTTTTTGTTCATGAGACGAGGTGTTAAGCCTCAAGGCGCTTTAAGGTATGAGCCTCAAAATAAAAAATTGTGGTAAGTGCAAAAAATTGTTAAAATTAAAATTTTATATAATACACAAAGAATATGTTAAAAGATGACTTTATCTTTCTATTGAACTACGAAGTAACACAATGACATATGAAACATAAAAATGTACAAGATGTAAAGTGGCTAGTGATAAATTGTATGAAATATAATTAAAATACAAATATTACATGAGCAAAAATTATTAAATATAGAAACTACATAAAAGTAGCATATAACATTAAGTTCAACTCCAACTTCTTTCTTTCTCATTTCCCTACACATACATTTAATTTCTAAAAAAGATTGAAATAGATGACACCAACTAAAAAATCATCTGTATTGTCATCACTGAGAGGATCTTTATTTGAGTCGTCATTATGACAAATTGGTCTCTCCCGTTTCATCCTGTGGAGTCAAATGCCTCCCAATATGATTCTTCATTTATTTCAGGCATCTTTCTCTTTCATAAATATTATTCAACAACATAAAGTTGAGATTAATACTCTAAAATTTTTAGAGGTGGTGGTGTGCGGCTTTTAAGTGATTCTTGATGGCGGCTACGACGGTGGTGGTTGTGGCGAAGGTGACGGGCTGGAGGTTAAGGCAGTTGAGAGTAAGTTGCTGCGACTCGGGGGTGCACGAAGTGTGATTTGTTCGGAGCTTTACTTTAGGATTTATGTAAGTTTTAAAATATAAGGCGTAAGCCTTATGCCAGTGAGGCGAGGCGCACCTCAAGGCGGGCCTCAACCAAGTTGAGGCGCAAGCCTCATAAAAAAACTCAAGGCATAAGCCTCAAGGCGTTTTTTACTGGAATTGTATAGAGGCGGGCCTCAAGGCGAGACTCATATTGTGCAATTTTAAACAATGGATAAATTATAGAATAAACATGTAGCCACATATATGTACATATATTCATACAAATATAAATATGTAAATATGAACATACACAATCTATTCTTGCATATGCACGCATATATACATAAAACATATGAGTATATATCAACTCCTTTATATGTATGCATGAATTTATGTTTATATAGACATAACTAAGCTTATATCAATCCAAACATGATTGAACATGGCCTTGTTCGTGTTTGGTTTGTTTAACACATGAGCTTATTAAAACTAGTCAAACTGAAGCTAATTATCAAACCGAACACGATCAAATATGAACACAGCTTTTTTTATAACCCTAGCTCCAATAATATATGAACTTTAGTGAGCTTACATCAACATGTGTTGCTTGATAATAAAGTGGTCAAGCCCAACTAATCGTAGTCTTATCAGCACTTTGGGTTTGGATCCAGTGATTTTGACATGAATCTGGTCTGAATAACCGTTAGATAGGATTATAATTTGAGTAGGGTCAAGTTCAAACCCAATTTGACTCATGGCCTATGTTAAGATGTTTGGATGGGGCTTTCAGTCTACTTGGTTAATCAACAGAAGGAATGATGATGTTTGGTTTGAATTGCTAAGAAGAGAAAACAAATGGGGTTGGCAGATGGGAAAACTAATGAGGTTTGACGAAGCAAGTGACAAAAGGATTGGAGCTAAGGTAGTGGATTTAGACTATTAGAGAAATTTTATTGGTCTAAGTTTGTATAGTTAAATGGAAATATTATATAAATATTTATAGTTGCTCATATATCTATATAAGATGATATATGTGTATATCTCAATCGGCCTAGGCCAGCAGCGTTTAGTGACCTAATCTGGCATTAGATTTTGGATTGGTTCATTGTTTGGATTGGCAATTGGGTCTAAACTGTTATACGAATATGTGAATGATTGGTTCGGATTTCATATCAGATCAAGCCAAGATGCCCCCACCTGAATTAATTCGATAATGTTGAAGCCAAGAATTACGATAATCATCATTCATGATGTTAGTATTGGAACTTTTAGCATATATGATAACATTACCCCCCAGTGTTTTTATTTTTCCATTCGAATGTACTGCTCTATTGACAATCTATGTTGCACTGTTATGAACATAGCGACACAGACACGAACATGGGACATGACAATTATTAAAAATATAGGATACAATTACAGCACAGATACGATATTATAATTTACAAATCATGCATCAAAATTAAGAAAACAATTAAAGTATAATATTAAGAATGACAAAATAATAATAAAGCAAAATCATAAGTAGTTATATAGCTTATAATATCAAAAAAATTAAGCATAAAATATCTAATATAATATCAAACACATATACATAAACTGTCTAGTTATTATCATAATTTAAATCAAGCTCAAATCAGTTTTGGGTTTCAATAAAAACCATTTATCAAATTTTCCATAGTATTAACCGTTTAGCATAAAGAGATGAAGATTGAGTTCTGCCACGTCCATTTGTCATGTAAATGTCTAAAAATAACCTAATTAAGAATCTAAAAAGGTTTGATCTAAGGTTTAGCCATTGAGTTGGTGCCATGTGTTGAACACTCTCACAGTGGTTATAAGTTATAACATAATGCGCTGAGGAATATGTGTCGAAGTGGTACTACATCACCAACAACACTATAACAAAAAAATTGACTAGAAGAAAAAAAAAAGTATATAACTTAACTCCTAGAAAAATAAAAATTTCTATCACGGTATTACCTTATTTGATTTTCACTGAAGTTTCACGTGAACGGAAGGATGGGTGGGCCTGCGGCTGGAGCTGGAGTTTCTCTCCATTTCTTGTCTTTGACCTTATCACTTGAGCACGTCGAGATCGTGAATGGAGGATTGGAGCGGAATCGGCCTGTCGTCGATCGTCTTCCTCGTCACTGGAGTAGAACTTGTCGCTAGTGAGGAACTCATCACCATAGCGGAACCCTAATCATTACGCCTGCGCCTGTATTGCAGGAACACGATGGAGCGGGATGCAGTTCAGGAGGGAGCATGTCCGATTTTTTCAAATTATTATTTTATTTGGACACTATCGTGTCTGACACGTATACCAACCGTATCGGACGCGTGACCGGTCCGACACTACATTTCTTATCAAATTGGAGTGGCGGAGCATCTTAGTTGAATTCAATAAACAATTTGAATCCACGACTTCTAATGTGTTATGTTTAACCTTGCAGCATATACTGGAAAATAAAGTATGTAAGCCGATTACAGTACCTGTGGGAAGACATAAAGAAAGGCCAGGTTGAGATCCCCGAGTTTGTTCGGCGTCACGACGAAGTTCTTGAGCACAGGCCATTAACAGACTATGGCATAGAGCCTGATCCTCTCCATCTAACTGGTGTGCCTGCCATGGAGTCTTCATTTGGAAGGTATGAAGATAAATGGCCTTCCCGGGATTATATGTAATTAGTAAATATTTCTCTTGAAATCTAATAATGATAACATAGTGTGAATAGCACTGGATTCCGGCTAATCCGGTTGGTAAGGATCTTAAAAAGTTATTGCCGAGGAGATTTGAATCTCTTTTGTCAAAATAAATCTAAGTAGTAGAACTTCAGGTTGACATACACAAGCTCTAATAAGTTATATTCTTGTGATTAATGGCACTATTGTTACTGCAATCTTTGCCATAAAGTTGGACCAAGTCATGAAGGTTATTATTGACGATAAATAATTTTCATGCTTTAATATAACTGTGATTTATTGTCGCTGCTGCAATTGTGCTTCATTTCCAGTTTTGAGATCTTCCTTTTTTCATGTTTTGTGCATGCCAACAGGATTTGTTAAAGACTATCTTGATAGCCGTTTGTTTGAGATAATTTTTTTGCTAATTTTTAAATTGTTTTTTATATAAAATTTCTTGTTCAATAAATTTTTGTACTAAAAATTACTTTAAGAAGGAATAAAAAAAAGGCTCTCAAATGAAGCCTTAATAGATCTTAGAATCAATTGTTCAAAGAGGGGTGCAAGCAAGTTAAGCTTGAGGTGGCTCATTCAATTTTGCTCTAATTGAGCTTGGCTTTGCCTCACACCCTCTTCCACTTCGCCTCATGCCTATGCCTCACGTCCAGTCCACCTGCCGACCACCCGCGTTCTCCTGCGCCTTAGGTCTTGCATGTTTGCCTCACGTCTGGTCTGTTCGGACTGGACTCCGGTTGATGCCGCAGACCACTATTTGCTTGCTGTCTGCCTACCCTTGTCTCGTGAATCATGTCCAAAGTCCAGATCGTAGTCCACTCGCCTGCCTGCACAACGCGTTCGAGTTTGCGTGTCATGTCGATTCAACCTGTAACCCGCACGGTCGGTCCGGATTGGAAAACTTGATCCTTTTGTAAAATTGGGTCGGATTAGGATCAATCCGTTTGAACATGTGTCAATTTGGGTTGGACCCAAATCTGACCTATCGACTTATTTTGACACTCCTAATTTATAGTAACAATAATTTAGGACTTAGTTTTCTATCTTTTGGCAAGATAATGAAGGTTTACCATTTACACATGAATGTTCTATGCCATTTGGGTTCTAAGCAAATAAATACACTCAATGAAAATTTTGATATACATTCATATAATATTTGTTTATGTTTGATTATTTATAGGTTTAAACAAAGTTTTAAAACTTTATCATACAAATAAATAAAATTGAATATTAACTCCCTTGTTCATTCATGTTTATGAATATATTTATTTGTTGTTTAAGAATTAATATAATATATTAAAGGATTTATGTCATGATTATATTAAAAGATTTGAGTTATTAAAAATTAAGTATAAAATTAAGTTGTGTTGTAGAGATGAAAATGATTAGGTGGATAAATGGTTTTAATATAGAAATAGAATGCGAAACAAGTATATGCATAAGAAGATTGGAGTAGTTACATTGGCTTATAAGATTAAAGAGAGTTGTCTTATAAATGATTTCTTCACATAAAAATGTTAGCCTTTCGATGACCTAGTTATAAGAATAGATTTATCAAATATGATATATATTAAGAAATGTAGAGGTAGATCTAAAAAGAATTGGTTAGAATGTATTATAAATGATTTTTTTTATTAGATTTAAATTAGAATTTGATTCTTAATAAGACACAATGGAGAAAAAAAAAATTCCCCCATAGTGAGGTTAAGGCTTCGTTTGATTCGGTTTATGCTTACATAAAAAGGAGTTTTAGAAAAGAAGGTTGAGAAAAAGCCGTTCAATAAAATGGAGTTTCAATAATGAGATATGTTTGACTAATATTTTTAAAAGTGTTTATTAATACTTGAAAGTAATTTTAAATTGTTTGTTTAGGAGTTCTGCTTTTGAAATTTTATTATAAAAGACATAATTCGCTTCATAAACTCCGTTTTGTGACCGAAGAAGCAGATACAAAAAGAATTTTGTAACCGCCGAAAAAACGATGTTTATTAAAAAGAAATTATTGTTAAGCTTTGATTCCAAACAGTAAATACTAATTTATTTCGGCGTATTCAAACGGAAAAGGAGAAAAAAAGCCTAATCAAACGAGGCCTAAGGCTTCGCTTGGGAAGATTTTTTTACTGCTTCTTAAAGCAGATTTCAAGTATAAAAATTTTAACTTTTGTACTAAAAAATTATTTTAAGAAATAGTAAGAAAGCCGTCCCAAACAAAGCCTGAGGCTTATCGTTGTTGTGATTTAAGAACAAAAATTTTAAATATATAATAACTAACTCATTTAATCATAACTTAATTTTATTTGATGATTTGTTCTATATTATACCAATTTTTTATGATTTATACATTAAAAAAATGCATGTTATTATATATATATGTTAAAAATATTAAATAAATAGCAAGATATATTTAAATATTTTATTATTATTATTTAAATTTCATCTAATACTTTACATAACACCTAATAAATTATATTAATTTTTTTATTAAATTTTATAAATTTGATAATAACTAGCAATTAGGTTATATGCTTAAATTATTAGTATCAAATATACAATTAGGTTTCCTTTGGAATGGCTTTTTTACTGCTTCTTAAAATAACTTTATAATATAAAATTTTAATTTTTAAACTAAAAAGTTGTTTTAAGAATCAATAAAAAAGCCGTCCCAAACGAAGCGTTAGTTAGATTTGATTAACGTTTAATTTTAATTGGAACAAACTAGATTTGAATAAAATTTCAAAATTAAAATCATATTTGAAATTAATAAGAAAATAAATGAAAAAATTTTAAAAATAAAATACTCAGCTCAACTCGATCTTTATGTTTGCTTCAAATGAGAGATCATCTAGGTTTTTTTTCTGTGAAAAGGACTGTAAATTCTTCTGGGATATTCAACATAAATTTAAAATTTATGATAGAATTTTATGGAGAAAAAAGAGCATTAAGTGAGGTGATGCAACAATATTTTGTGAATTAATTAAGCTACCTATACAACTCATTTTAATCTGTTGGATGAAAATTGTAACTATTAACTAAGAGAGATTAAATTTCAATATTACATATTCTAAATCATGTACATTTTTAGAAGATAAGAACTTAGAAAATTATCATTAAGCTTAATTCACAATGAAGATATTATGAGATTTTCTTTATTAATGTTGTGCTTATCATGTATATATTTTTATGTATAAAAATTGTTTATAGTTCATATATATATAAAGTTTGATGAATTGCTTTATAGATGCAATTTTCATGGTTATGAAACTTTTAAAACTGCAAAATTATGAAAAAAAAAAGTGTTCTTTAATAGAATAAGCCGATTTGGTGGAGAAAATATTTTATTGCATGAGTGATGATGACGTAGTGGGATAAAGATTTGATGTTATTGTTGTGATGATGGATGATAAATCACATATACAAAATCAAAGAAGCAATTGAAATATGGAAGAGAGATAATTTTTTTTTACATTATAAATTTAGAAAGAAAATTTGAAGGGTTTAGTCTGGTTAAAATAGTGTCAAGTAGTGATAGATATGAAATTTAAAAAATTGCCCTTCTACAAATTTGAAGATGGTGCTAATACCAATACCAAACAGATAAAAATTAGTTGCATCTACCCCAATGATGATGATTCAAGAAAGTTGGTGCAGTAGATGAAGATGCCATTTTCCCTTTGAGATGAAGATGGCATGACTTAAAATTCACAACAAAGTGTCACAATAAGATCTTGAAAGCGACTAAAGAAAATCCAAAGGTGTTGTCTTGAATAAAGGAAGGCCAATCCAGACATTCCCTCCCTCTTTAAGAGAACAAGGGGATCAAATAGCAAAGATTTGTAATTGATTGATAATAATTGGATGATCCCTCTCCTAAAAGGGATTTCTTATTCTGTGAGGAGTCTGGAGGGTGTCTGAAGACCAATAAAAATGTGCCACGTCACCCCAAAAATATACCAAGCCCGGTACCCGAGCGATTAACCGGACGGGAGTACCATCCGGTGTCCGCACATAATAATAGCTCCCTAAAAGGAGGGTCTAAAGGACGCCAAGTAGAGCATTCCCTCTTTTGAAAGTAAAGGGAAACTAAACTACCAAAAGTTAATGGGTGATAAAGGTCATTGGCATAATCCCTCTCTTTAAATAAGGGATTGCGATATGATTGAAAGTTAGTAGACATGGAGCTGCTTGAGAAAGTCCTACTAAATGGAATAGTGATTGAATGATTAAAAGTTAACCAAAGATTAGAGACAATCAAGATATCCAAACTTGGCTAAACTTTGAGTTGGGGGGCAATATAAGGTGGCTCGAACATTCTTTTTCAAATGAAGAGTGGTGGATCATCAAAATAAGCAAATATATAAGACAAGGATAATCGTTCTCTTGAACAGAGTTGGATGGCCTGAATTATCAAAAGTTTATTATGTAGGGAGAATAGAAAACACTAGAATGGGTGACATGAGCTAATCTATTAGAGCTCTACAATTTCTTTCATTTTAGAGCTCTAGATGAAGAGTTGTGTATATTTTATAAATTTAGAAGCAATCATGTCCCTTATTTGATACAACAATACCAAGTTTTTATCCCACTACGTGGGATCAGCTACATGAATCTTTTAACTCCATTGTGTCTTATTAAGTGTCAAATTCTCATTTAAATCTAATAAAGAAAAGACATTTCTAATATTTTCTAACAAAAATTTTTTAGGTCTAAATTTATCTTTCTTAATATAAACTGAATCTAATACATCTACTCTACTAATTTAGTCATTGAAAAGATACCAATTTATGTTACCAAACCATCCAAGATGACCCGCTCTAATCTTATCTAACACTGAGCTACTCCAACCTTCTCACATATATGCTCGTTTCATATTATGTCTCTACGAGTAATGCCACTTATCCATGTGGGCACCAAAAATTATTACCCCGGCCTCTCCGCGAAGCCCTTTATCTTTATTTTTTGGGTCGTCGAGAAAATTTTTAACGCTTAAGTTCCTAGGCAAGGATGATCATCATCCAATGATCGACCGGCGAAGTAATATCATAAAAAAATATATTATTTGAAAGCTCTTCTAATGAAGCTAAATGTATCAAGATTTCAATGGTTTAATTGATATAACTAAATTCAAAAGGATTTAAAGATCAAATTAATTTTTATTTTAAAAAAAAAAAATCTACTAAAGGTCACCATTTATGCAAGTTGAAATTGGATAACTGCACTAATGTAATTATGATAATTAAAAGGCGATCATCTCCAGCTGTTAATGACATCTATACTGCAAGACATAAAGAATCATTGTCATGTTTTTTTTTTTCTGGATTATGGGTCTCTTTCTATACATACAAGGAAGTTGCAAAACCGTACGCTCCTCTACGTTCGGTTCTAGGCGAAAAAAGCGCAATACCGAGTACCGAGTTGTACCGAGTTTTTTCAAAAAAACTCGGTATTGCGCTGTTTTGATCTAAAACCGAACGTAGAGGAGCGTACGTTTACTGGATGTAATAAAAGTTCCTCTTTCTATACATACAAGGAAGTTGCAAAACAAGGCTCAAATATTCTCCTTGACAGCACCAAAGATCTACTTACATGATAGTGAAGAGGCACAAATGAACCGAAAAATTATCAAAATATATAGATAAAATCTTTTTTAAAAAAAGTGACCAGAAGAGAAGAGAAGATCCACACTAAATTCTAAAGAAACCAAAAAAAGAGAGAAATAATTCATCTCTCATAAAATATTCAAGAATAAAAGAAGAAAAGGATCTTCTATCTCGAAGCAAAAGCAATGCACAGGTGTAGCTATAGCTCTACATCCCAGACAAGGAAATCTCTTGGCTATCGCAACTGAGAAGCAGCCTCTGATTTTCGATTAATTATTCTATGCGGACGCCAAATGCCATCCGGAGACCAATCAAAATGCGCCACATCACCCTTCGCTCCATACCATGGCTCGATACTGCTCGGTACCACTGACGTGGTGCATTCTGGTTGGCCTCCAGACAACATTCTGCATTCAGCTTCCGTACAAAATAATTTCTCCTAATTTTCCTCTTCTTTATATTTGCAGGATGAAGGAGAAGCCACACATCTTATTGTCATGGCTCAATTCTTACCGTTCAAATATACAAAACTAATAAGGATTAGAGTGTTTTTATTTCCCTCGCTAGCTGGATAATTCGTAATCAAACTGAACTGAAACCTAAAGGGTTCTTAAGCTCATTTCTAAAAAACATCAAGACTCAAAAACTTATATTTAGCATTAATATATAAACAAAGAACTAATTACATTTTTAATTAAAAAAAACAAGTTTGAATCAGACTAACATCACAAGATATTAAAAACAACTTAAAAACAAATGTTAAATAAACCAAATATTTGGTAACAAAATCAAGTTTATATACTATTCAATTAACCTAAATAGTACTGCTATCAAACATCTATCACAATAAAAAGTGCTTCTCAATTATAGGAATCCTGGTTTAGATTAGTTAGAAACAAAGCTAAATTAGCGAGTACCTGATAAAAAACCATAACAAACAAAAAACAGATATTTAAGGAACCCTTCAGTATAGTTTCAAACAATCCGAATTTTCACCTGGAAGTCCTGTGAAATAAGTTTATTGGGGTCCTGAACTCTGGGATGGCGGCGGAAGTCCCATGTTCCCAACGAGGCCCACTCCAGGTGCCCTCACATCCATCATTCCAGGCTTCCATAGTCAAATATAAAAATTTTCATGAATAAGAAGTCCAGATAAAGAGAAAGATAGAGCCTGAAAGCTAAGCATCAGTTGATAGTTAATACCTGAAAGGCACTCAATCCCTGAATGGGATTAATCATTCCTGCCGGTGGTCGGTTAAACAGTCCACCCATAGGAAAATTCTGTACAACTGAGTTCGGCGCATTCTGAAGGTTTGGCAGGCCACCGGCAAAGCCTCCCATGCTTGGCTGTAAGTTACTATTGGGGATTGCAATTGGCTGCTGCATTTGGTTAAGACCCATCATATGCGCTTGAGGCAATGGAGATATCATCTGATTAGCAGAACCCTGCATTATCTGAAAATTTTAATTAATTACTCATATATTTTACTCGCATCAAAGAAAAACTAGTAGCTTTGAGATCCAATTGGGGGGGGGGGGAGAAGTTGATTGATTGCAGCTCATAAACTTTCAGCAAAAAAAAAACATCAAAAAATGAAACTGAGCAATGGTGTGAATCAAAAGAACCTTGAAACTAATAAAGATAAATAGCAAAATCTTAAGAACTCTAAATAAAGTAATGATGGTAATTGAAAAGCTAGTGGGTTGGCATACCATGGGATTAGGCATAGACATGGGTGATGGAACCATAGATGAAGGCATGGGCATGGAACCAGGCATGCCAAGGGATGGCATTTGAGGGGGTGGCGGCCGAGATAAGTGATGAGGAAGGAGCGGTATATGTGCCGGAGGCTGCAAGTGGCTCATATTTGGAGGTGCTAGAGGCATAGGGACCATCTGCTGAGGAAATGGCGGAAGCTGCTGCTGCTGTTGCGGCAATTGCTGAGCAACCTGCTGATATGCTTGCTGCTGTCCAGCTGCCAAAAGAGATGGGTGGGGACCTGGTGGAAGAGGAGGTGCTCCACCAAGTGGAATTCCTGGAATCTGAGGCCGTTGCTCTTGATCAGAACCATCATGAGATTGAACAGATAGTGGCATTGCAACTCCAATACCAGGAATAGTCCCTTCATTTCGTGACAATCCAGCAGCAAAAGCTCCAGGCGTCGGTGGGGCTTCAGGCATCGGGTAACCACTCATTGGTCGGCCAGTGAGATGAGGATTGGGGTCACCATAACCTGGAAATATTATGAAGTAAATGATGTAAACAATCTCATTCTATCCAAGAGAAAAAAAAAATAATCTCATTCTATCCTGCACAGAGAGTAATGGAAGAGCAATTCAAAGCGGATAAAAGAAGAACCTTGGGCATGGAAGGCATTGTATTTATCACGGGCTTGATCTCCAGGCCGGTTTCTACACCAAAACCTTGTAGCATGATCATTTCCACCGCTGCAGCATGACATTAAAATATAATGGCAAATCTAAATTTCAGTTGCTTTGGTAGTTGGGTAAGTCAAAGGCATTGTAAAAACATCATAATCACCAATAGAGCACATAGAGATGCAGACAGTTGATGGCAAAATGATTTAAAACCTCCCAAACATATTAAGTAAACAACCATGTCAGTAGCGAAGCAATTAACAAGAAATTTGAAAAAACCAAGCATACTTCAAAAATAATAACCTACACATTAATATGGATGATGCTAAGAAATCACATACCTGCATAGTAAATAGCCAATAGGATGCCAAGCAAGATCCCACACAGAATTCTCATGTGCACCAGGCAGTTCAACCTGAGGTGTCTCATGCCTGTATGAATTCTATGGTCTAGTTAATAAGTTAAAGAGCAGTCAAAACATCAAAAAAAAAAAAAAAACTTAACATGAGGATTATATATTGGGTGGGCCTATGTTACATACAAAGCATATCAATCTTACAATTAGAGCTATAATATCATACTCTTTTTTTTAGCTATAATATCATACTTGATTTCAAAGTTATATGACAGTAGGAATTATACATGCTATATTCTGAAGGGAAATATTTTGACATTTGACAGAATATGAATATCTTTATTTTAAATACCATTGTTGGCATCAAATATTATCTAAATAAATTTGTTATTTAATTGAATAATTAGATTAACCTTTTTTATTAAATAACCAAAAGAGTCTTCTCACTCTACTAAAACCACCCACAATCCCTGTGAAAAGGGTAATCACTGGTTGGTAAAGAGTATACTGGTGGCGCAAGTGTGTGAGAACAAGGCCACCACTACTAGTGGCAAGCGGCACTGATAACCTTCACAAATTCTGCCTCCCTTTCTCAAACCTTGAAAGCACATATTGCGTCTCACCCCAACAATGAAATTTTTTTGGACATAAGCCTCAACAACCCAACGACATGTAAGCCCATCAACTCATGCTTGATTTTGGAGCCCTCTCAATGATCTTAACCAAACATTTAGCTAAGATTGTAACAATGACATAAGCCCAGCAAATAATAATTTAGGCCAATTACCATACTAATAAGTCTGCCAATTGAATATTAATTCAAAGCTAACTCCTATGTCACCAATCCCTTTAAGGCTTTAACAAAAACTTGCCCTAAATATGTTTATGCTTATTTCTCATACTGAAATTGAGGGCCATTGAGTGCCTCTAAGCTTGTTGATCATGTCTAGAAATATAAGTGATCATATTGCACACCTCCAATTAAATTTAGTAGGTACAATGAACCCTGGGTAAGAGAACAAGACAGCGTCAATCTTGAAAGAACTTCAAACCACATTTGTCACCCTAGTTTACTCAAAACATCTTATAGGAGACAACCTATGATTGTTAACGAGTCTCTCTGGACATGAGGACTAAAGTCCACTAACATTGGCTAACTAGTTCTATAGGTAGACTCATGATAAACTAAACCATGATATCTTTATCTGAGTTTACCTCCATCCATCATTCTCAATTCAATCAAAATTAAATATAAATCCTAACTTTCTGATGTTTAACTAAATGCGACAGACAAGAATTGCAATTAAGATATTAATAAAAGTGAACAACTTTGCTTTGCCGCCAATAGACTCTTTGTTTGTTCACGTGAAGGTTTTAGAATTTGTCATTGGAAGATTAAGCAATAGCAATAGAGTACAAATTGAGATAAGTAGGACTTGCAAAATAACAACCAATGACTAATAGGTAATGCGAATAGCAAGTGTAACAAAAGCCTCAAGTTTAAAATCTAGATCATTCACCTTGAGATCCATCACTCAATCTCTTGAAAATGGGGGTTAGCGGAGGAGAATTGCAAGTACACTTAAGGATGCCACTATCAAACAAGAGACGCCGACAGGACTAGTCGCCAGGGAAGAAACCGAAGTTGGAGAAGTGAGCGGTCGTCCGATAAGAGTCCACGGAATCCTTGGTCATTGAAGCTCGATAGTCTCGGTGAGGCAATAAACGATGCGATTGACGTAGCGTTCCACGGTGCCGTCGTACTCCCAATCCGGCTCGTAGAAAGGAGAGAGGAAGATGTCGATCTCTCCTTGGTCGTTGTACGCAAAACCGTGATCAACGGTCCGATCCGCCATTCATGATCAAGAGAAGACTTTATGTGTAGTGGGAAGTAGACGAGGAAGAATGGCTACCTAGGATTGGCGGCCAAGAGGAGGGGACGGTGGAGGGGTTTCTTGGGTGGACTAGGGAAGAGGAGGAGGGCGGCTAGGTCTAATTAGGTTTAGATGCAAAAAATGGAAAACTGGAATTAATTTCAGTTTAAGGGGAATCGGAGGGAAAATATTGGATTTTGAATTTCAAATTCCAAGAGGGGGATGGTAGAATTAAATCCCCCTATGGCCGGCGGCAATAAGAGAGGGAGAGGGGTTTGGGGGAAAGGAGTTATGGGTTTCCTAATCCGTCTTGGCAAATTATGGATGAGGAAAATAAATCCAATTTAATTTAAAATTAAATTGAATGTCATTGGAAACTTTTCTATTTTGGCTTTTGACAAATTTGGAAATATTTAAAATTCAACCGTTTGAATTTCAAAATTTGAATCATGTGGAGGGAGGGGAAAGGGTTGGTGGTTGAAGGTTGTGGAAGGGGTGGCGGAATAGGGGGTGGCCGACGGCTACAGGAATGGCCGACGGGTTGGATCCCCTAGGTGGCCGACAGGATGTAAGTTGGGAGGGGGATTCGATGCAAGGAAAAAATATAAAAGAAAAGAAAGATACTAAGACCGCGAACCTTTGAATCCACCAAGATTGACGGGTATTGCAAATCACCCTCCTCGGGCTTCTCCTCTCATGAACTCACTAAGTGATCAAACAAGCACAAACCTTTTTTTTTTTTTCAATAATTCATCATCTATTACAATGCATGAGGCCTCCTTTAAATAGACCAAGATAAGACAAAGCTAGAAAGACACAAATGCCCTCAGGGCTACACAAGCGACTAAATACTCAAGGGGCAAACTAGGAAAATAAAATGCGAGAATAAATAAAATACAAAACAAATCAGAAATAAAGACTCTGGATCATAGCCGTCAATTTGTGTCTCCGACGATGGTACACGTGTCGAAATCTGATGTCCTCATCATTCTCCCCAGGTGCGAGAAAACTCGACCCCGTCGAGTAAGCATCACTAGAAATCTCGTACAACTCCAGTAGGTCAGGGTCCAATCTCTACAGCTCATCCCGATCGATCCACACATTCTCCGTCTCCGACTTTCCTGCCCATTGAACTAGATACCTTTGGCGACCACCGTCTTTAGTGGAAATGACTTCATTGTTAAGTATTGCCTCAATCCTCTCCGCAGTAGGTAAAGTAGGAATGTTTGGAAGTGGAGGTAGGCTAGGGATCTCACCAGATAGGGTCACACAAGGCTCATTATATAATGGATTGATGGGGTTAAACTCTGGACCCTCATTGGCTACAAGATCTTCAATGTTAAATGTGGGGCTAAAGTTAAAAACTTCAGGAATGTCTAGCACATAAGCATTATTGTTTATCTCGGAAATTATTCTGAAAGGTCTCGCACTTCTCGCATGTATCTTTTTAACGGTCCCTTGCGGGAACCACTCCGGATGAATCCGAACCATCATAGAATCTCCCACTTCAAATTCTTTAAACCTTTTCTTGAGATCCGCATTAAGTTTATAGTTAGCATTGCTTTGTTCAATTCTTTTATTAATTTCTTTGTGCAATTCTTGAATACGAGATGCAAATGTGGATGCAAGAGACCAGGTGTGCATGATTAATGACAAGAATCGTGAGCTCACACAAGAGTTTTAAACAAAGACAATTCTGAAAGAAAACAGACTACAAAAACACACACACACAACATACTAGCTCACACGAACACATAGCTAGAATAAAAGTGGAAGAGTCATGAAATGAGGGGATCTAAAGTGTTCAGGTCTAAGGGAACTAGTGTAGGAGGAGCAATGAAGACATCCTTAGCTACCAGGGCACTTCTATAGGAAGTTTCAGTTAGGGTCATAGGTAGTCTCATAGGGTCAACAAGGCCATCTAGTAAATTCATCCAACTAATAGAGAGATGGTCCTTAACAGGGAAGGACAAGAACATAGAAAACAAATGAATCAAGAACAAGATAAGATGATGGATCCTGACTCATAGCCATAATGGGATAACCCAAAGAGTCACCATCAGGTATGAGACCCAAAAAATTGGGTAGGGTGTCCATAACAGAAGTGAGCACAACAGTTAGAGTGGTGGCATGAAAGTATGGGCTAAGACTCTCTATAATATTAAAGTCGGTACAAGGAGTGGTTAGATAAGTCCAATCAAGAAAGTCACACTCTTTCAAATGCAATTCTAAAGGGGCAACTCCAAATATAGACTCCAATAAAACACAAGGATGCTCAATTATCAAAATAGGCTCTAATTTGTTCAGATCCAAATTACTGTCTTCCTAATTCGTATTACTATTCTCAATAGAATCAGATTTGGTGATAACCCTAAGATCAATGGATTCGGGGTCAATTAAATCGGTGCTTAACTCTGGTAGTAAATTCAATTGACTCAATTCCAAATCAAGACTATCCACGTCGCCATCAAAATTCAGAATTAAATCAGAGTTATTCGGAGTCACCTCCGTAGGAGATATGATTAAATCAGAATCTTCCGAATTTAATTTCCATGTATTCAAGGTCATATCAATTTCTTTCGAGATCAACTTGATATCATACAAGCAGACCTTATCCAAAGGGGTATCCTTGAGGAGACTAGGAACAGGAAGGACTAAGGTATCAATGTCTACAAGTTCTAAATCTCCTAACTCAGGGTTTAAGTTATGCAGGGAGTCTAAACCAATCAGTTCAGTTTCATCCTCAAAAAAATCCTCGTTCTCAATAATATCCTTTCCACGAAATGGATGTACTCAGTTTCAAGTTCAGGGGACTTTTTCTTTGTAATGCAATTTTTGGTTAAAATGACACTGGTAGGGTCAAGGACTGTGGAGACTAAAGGTTGACTGGGATGGCTAGGAGTCAGCCCAAGTGGGGAGTCATATGGGACCGATCCAACAGAAAACCCAATAAAGGGTAGGCCATCGAGGCTAGGAGAAAGCCTATAGGGTGGGGCAGCAACCCTGATGTTGCTAAAGGATGGGTGGTCTCGACCACAATAATGTCCACGGTTCGTCCCAACAAAAGAGGTAGGGTGGTGCTCTACATGACGGTCACTAGGGGTAGGGGTCTTGAAAGTGCAACATCCAAAGGTTTGATGAACAGGGGGTGACCTAAGCTTAAAACCAGTTGGTTGGTCGCTGGTAGAGGGTCGGTAGTTTAAATTAAGTTATCGCCTCATGTCTTTCCAAATAGAAGTAGAGTACTCACCCCGAGACTCTTTATGATCTTCCAATCTCATCCAAAATTGAAGAGCCCGACCTCTTAGGTGAGACTTAGCGATGCTAACTTGGTGGGACTCAGGAATATGACGTGATTCAAAATAGTCCTCTAATTATCTAACCCATTCCCTAAAGTAGTAAGGGTCTGAGGAACCATGAAAGGTGGGTAGACTGTAATGTGATTCTAAGTGAGGTTGTTGAGGCTTAGGCTCAGGTCTATGTTGATAAGAAGAGTGGGGCATCTTCCGACTAGCATGATTGGCCGAATGGGGCACGTACTTAGAGTGGGGAGAGTCAATGTGTTTCTCCGTCATAATTTTAGTCATATAGCACACTAGGTTAACGATGTCATCTAACCTCTTTTGGAGTCTTATTGGGTCCATTGGGAAGCATCAAGTGACACTCAAAGATGATTGGGTGTAAGGGACGTCATTGAGACACTAAGTCAGGCTCACTTAAGCTCACTAAAGGGTGCAAAAATTGATTGGACAGCAAGCTACACTAGTGGGTTAAGTAACCTAAGCACTTAGGAAGGTTGTTAGGTTGAGGACAACATCTAAACACTTAAGAAACTAGCCTACAGTTCACTAGATGGGTGCAGGAATGATGTGGACAGCAAACTACAACATGGCATAAAGTTGTCTAAGTGTTTAGGAAGGTTTCTAGAGTGTGGACAACACCTAAACACAAACCTAGACTCACCTATATGCCACTAATTGGTGCAGGAAAACTTGGACAGCAACCAATAATATTGGTTTAAGCAACCTAAGCAATTAGGGATGTAGTTGTGACAAGAACAGCACTTAAACAATGAAGTGGACTTGCTTAAAACGATGAAAAAGGTGCAGAAATTTACTGGACAGCAGGGAAAACAGTGAACTAAAATTAATTAGGCAATGGTATGCATGCAAACAAACACACGATTGGTTAGGTAGACTCCTAGGATGTTTTCTAGCATATGTCACCTATGCCTACCATGCTCTGATACCAAATATGATGTGAAACTAAATGCGATAGACAAGAATTGCAATTAAGATATTAATAAAAGTGAACAACTTTGCTTTGCCGCCAATAGACTCTTTGTTTGTTCACATGAAGGTTTTAGAATTTGTCATTGGAAGATTAAGCAATAGCAATTGAGTACAATTTGAGATAAGTAGGACTTACAAAATAATAACCAATGACTAATAGGTAATGCGAATAGCAAGTGTAACAAAAGCCTAGAGTTTAAAATCTAGATCATTCACCTTGAGATCCTTCACTCAATCTCTTGAAAGTGGGGGTTAGCGGAGGAGAATTGCAAGCAAACTTAAGGATGCCACTATCAAACAAGTGACGCCGAGGGGACTAGTCGCCGGGGAAGAAACCGGAGTTGGAAAAGTAAGCGGTTGTCCGATAAGAGTCCTTGGTCGTTGAAGCTCGATAGTCTCGGCGAGGCAATAAACGATGCGATTGACGTAGCGTTCCACGGTGCCGTCGTACTCCAAATCTGGCTCGTAGAAAGGAGAGAGGAAGATGTCGATCTCTCCTAGATCGTTGTACGCAAAACCGTGATCAACGGCCGGATCCGCCATTCATGATCAAGAGAAGACTTTATGTGTAGTGGGAAGTAGAGGAGGAATGGCTACCTAGGATTGGCGGCCAAGAGGAGGGGACGGTGGAGGGGTTTCTCGGGTGGACTAGGGAAGAAGAGGAGGAGGGCGGCTAGGTCTAATCAGGTTTAGATGGAAATAATGGAAAACTGAAATTAATTTCAGTTTAAGGGGAATCAGAGGTAAAATATTGGATTTTGAATTTAAATTCCAAGAGAGGGATGGGAGAATTAAATGGGGGAATCAATTTGGATTCCCCCTATGGCCGACGGCAATAATCGAGGGAGAGGGGTTTGGGGGAAAGGAGTTATGGGTTTCCTAATCCGTCTCAGCAAATTATGGATGAGGAAAATAAATCCAATTAATTTAAAATTAAATTAAATGTCATTGGAAACTTTCCTATTTGGCTTTTGATAAATTTGGAAATATTTGAAATTCAACCGTTTGAATTTCAAAATTTGAATCATGTGGAGGGAGGGGAAGGGGTTGGTGGTTGAAGGTTGTGGAAGGGGTGGCGGAAGAGGGGGTGGCCGGCGGCTACAGGAGGGGCCGGCGGTTGGATCCCCAAGGTGGCCGACGGGATGCAAGTTGGGAGGGAAATTCGATGCAAGGAAAAAATATAAAAGAAAAGAAAGATACGAAGACTGCGAACCTTGGAATCCACCAAGATTGACGGGTATTGCAAATCACCCTCCTCTGGCTTCTCCTCTCATGAACTTACTAAGAGATCAAACAAGCACAAACCTTTTTTTTCATTCAATAATTCATCATCTATTACAATGTATGAGGCCTCCTTTAAATAGATCAAGATAAGACAAAGCTAGAAAGACACAAATGCCATCAAGGCTACACAAGCGACTAAATACCCACAGGGGCAAACTAGGAAATAAAACGCGAGAATAAATAAAATACAAAACAAATCAAAAATAAATGCTCTGGATCGAAGCCATTGATCTGCGTCTCCGACGATGGTACACGTGTCGAAATCTGATGTCATCATCACTTTCAGCCTAGTGGCCTATTTAAAGAGTAGTCTCCTACAATTGGAAAGAAAAATTATGGGGTCAATCATGCACCTATAGTAAGTTCGACCCCAAATTTATATAAACTTAATTTAGTTGAAACAAAGTCAGTCTACCTAAAAAGACTACCCTAAAATTCTCATACATCAAGGAGACTTAAGGAGAGGTGCTTTTCCTATGCAACTAACTGTAACGAAATCATAACCAAGCTCCATATTTTTCAAGAAATGTTGTGCCCGATATCTTCATTGTGATATATATCTCAGGTTTGAGCAATGTAGGTTCTTTGTGGTGCATTTAGATTATTAAAAGATATAACCTAAAGAAAAGTTACAGTTGGCACTCAATAAGTAGATTTCTCATGCAATCAGTTTTCTTAAATCTAAGAAAAAAATCATAAGTACATTATTGAGTAAAAAATAAATAGATATCGGAAGTGCATAACGTTGGCACTTCAACACCAATAGATTATTATGTGAAAACTGAAGAGCTATAAATAAGTATCATGGATATTGAAATTCTAAAAGATTATCGTAGAAGGATTACCCTACAAGCCAATGGAAGATGGATCCATCAAAACTCCCGCTAACAAAATATTCTTCATGAAATGGATGCCAAGCCAAAGCTAGCACAATAAGGCAACAACAAATACAACATTGTTAATACTCAGCTCAAACTTGAAAAGAAAGAGTGCTATTTATCTACAAAAAATGATCGTTACACACTACTTGATAACAAAGATTCAAAACTAACGGATACAAAATAAATATTTAAATGAACATATATGTCCCATCAAGCAAATAAGTTCACTTAATGTAAGATCAAAAGCATATAACTTCATAACACTAGAAACCGTCAGTTGAAGTTTTATGATTAAAAAAAAAGGGGGTTTCGTCTCCCGTTTTCATTGTTCGTCCTCTTTATTTCATACCCTTTCTTTCTTATGTTCAAAATATCACCAATTTTTCACCAAGAATAACAAATAAAAAAATGTTTCATTTTTGGCCTAAATAAATAAAATTAAAACAACAAAATATTCAATAATATTCTGCAAAAATAAGCTGAAAACTTTATAATATTGAGAAAAGTTGCTGTTAATACTTCAAGAAATCCTGCTTCCAAAATAGTCAAATCTCAACCAACAGTGATGGGAATTGGAAAGGAAAATCAACATCAATCCATTAATCATTAATTTTCCTAGTAGAAAACAATCCTATTTTTACTAGATATCTAGCATGCAAATACAATCAATTTGAAGAATCACACACTCATTTTATTCATTTCTACTCAATTAGATTATATATTCCATAAGGCATGCAACCAACAGTTTGTTTTTGTTCCTCAAGGTCACTAATTATTTGTACTAAATTAAGAATCTGCCTACCCGATAATTGACTCACCAAAAAACATTATCACAGAAAGCCATTAGATTTTAACCTTCTAAACAGAAAGAGGACATAACCATTGTGCAAGTATCTATGGTTTACATCAAATATAATCACAAGTAAACTAGGAATCTAAATGGGTGGAAGCAGAACAACACAAATATTATACTACTGAAACACTAAAAAATCAAGAAACTTAGTTTGCTCTATTGCGTCTCCATGACAGCATGCACATAAACTTAACCTTGAGGAAGAAAAAAGAGTGAAGAAAAACAAGGTTGATGGGGACATCAGATCATGAAAAGTATATCAGAGACATGGCCGACGATCTACGGCCACGATTGCGCTAATCTATTTTTTATTCATCAGATGTATTTGTTTTATTTATTTGCATTATGTATTTGATTTATTATCATTTCCCGTTTTACCCTTACTTAAGGGTCTTGTCACATGTTTGTCTTTTAAATTCCTTTCATTGTTTGAGGCTATTTATAGGCCCTTTATGTTTCTTTTCAAGTTAATGAAGGAATATATAAAAAATTTCAGCAAATTGGGTTCTTGTGAGAGCTTATGAGTTCTTGGAGAGGAAAAACCTTAGGAGAGGAAATCGGATCACCCACCAACTTTGGAAGCATCCGGGTTCGCGACTCTTTCTTCCTATCTTTTATTTTCCTCTTTCCCCCACTCTTCCTAGTTGTCGGCCTAGGGTTTTCAACCCCCATAGCCGCCGGCCACCACAAGCTCCAAGCCCCTTCCCCTTCCTCCCTCTCACACCGAAAATCATGCCACCATTCCAAAGACCAATCGGTCTCCCCTTCGCCACCTCCACACCACCAAAACATCCTCATCCTAACCCTAGCCGCCGGCCATATCACCTTCTCCCTTGAGTCCCTCAATCAAAGCATGCAATCAAAGCCTTCCCTAATTTAACCTTTATATTTTAGGAAATCCATTTAATTCATATTCAAATCAATTTGAATTTGAATTAATTTCCTAAAATACGAAGTTTAATTTTAGGAAAGTTTCCAAAATCAATCATATTTGAATTTTAAATTAGATTGCAATGAGATTCATCCTTCCTAATTTAGTATGCCAAATCAAGTAGGCTTTGATATCTTTATCCAAGCCCCTCTCCCCCTCTTGATCCCGCCGACCCTACTTACCCTCACTCCTTCCTTTCTTTGCAAATCTCCTCTAAGGAAAGAATTGAAGACTTACCAAATTTAGATCATCTTAAATTTTAAAAGATTTCAATTTTCAAATTCAAATTTATTTGAATTTGAATCCTTTCCTAAAATAAGATTAATCTAATTTGGACACTTTCCAAATCTCTTCAAATCTGAATTTAAGTGGAGATACCCTTTAATTCTCTTTCCTTAATTTAAGTCTTATGTTTGGAAAGAATTCCAAAATTCCCCAATCAAGCCCCCTTGCATGGTCGGCCCCCTCCCAATCAACCCATTAATGCTCCCATAACCAGCCGGCCCCTTCCCCTTTCTCTCCAAATTAATTTGTGACTTATTTGGCATGTTCCCTAGGCAAGGAAATTAATTCCAGATTCCCCTCCACTGTTGGGCACAGAATTCCCCACAATATTCCTCTAGTTTCATTGCATCTAGAGAGCCGAAATCCTGAATTTTCCATGTCCAAGTTGCTGTCCAGATTTATGGACAGATTTTGTGTGCCGTCCAGATTTCCCATTGCCAAAACAGCTGTCCAGATTTGGCTTAGATGTTGACCGAACGCTCCTAGTTGCTGTCCCGAAGGAGATCAAGTGCTGGCTAGAATTCCGGAGCTTGCGAACCTGCTGTCCAGAGTTTCCCACAGGCCAAAGCTGCTATCCAAGATGTCGAAGTTGCTCTCCAGAGAATTCTGCACCTCCCCATCGCTGCCCAGATTTCCTGGTTGCTGTCCAAAGGGTTCAAGCCTGAATTTGTTGCTGTACAGCCCCCAAGAAGCCACCACTTGCTGTCCACTTCCTCTCAAGCCCTCAAACCACCACCGGAGCTTCGTATAACTTCTTTCTTTGGGTAAACTCTCCCTCCAACTCTCTTATCTTCCAAGTATACTTCTCAATTGTGGTTATATTTTGATTCGTGAAGATCATGCTAATTGTTCGCCGCCAAAGCTTTAGTAAACATACGGAATGAGTAACGGACTTCTATGCATCTAATCTCGTTGTTAATCTAGGGATGTTATTGGAAATCCTCTATATTTATTTATGTTGAATTTTCTAATTGTTTTGTGATCCTAACTATTAGTGTGACTTGGCCTAAGCTAAGGCACCCCTTTCTTGTTTTCTATTTTTGATAAGCGGCTAACATTTTAATACTTATTGCTCTTACTTGAAAGCATGCAAATTCCTTAATCAAATCATTTTTGCATTTATGTCCTGCATCAAAGGTATTTCAAGTCCAAAAATGAAAAAGAGAATTATAATTGGCTCCTTGAGGAATTTCATATTTGGCAAACACTAGTAAGAAAAACTATGGGAATCGATGCAAAAGGAGCTTACAAATCATTTTGTTTGTAAATCAATATGCATTAACAAGAACCCGTTCGTAAAATTGACAGATCTAATTCAACCATATTAGCATGAACCTTCAAAATCACAAGTCTTAAATGAATTTAAATCATAACAGCATATTAGATTCGGATCAAGAATCTAACATACAGCATCATTATCATTAGTCATACCCCAAACAATTTGAGGACAGCAATATGAATCCAATTTTACATTCATACATGTTGAGTGCCTTATGAGGTGTTTAGGCCTATTCTTCACAAATTATTTTGAACTATCCATGCTAATTAAGGTCAACCCATTTTCCCTTCCCAATCCTCCCATACTTAATTTAGCTACCCATATAATAGGTGTATTTTCCATCCATTATTTTACCAGCTCAAACCACTTATGTCTATTTTTAAACACCATATCTTCAATAAAAGTTACCAGAACCATTTCTCAAATGTTATCATTTTTTAATTTATCATTTTTTATTCTGCCACACATCCATCTTAGTATTCCCATTTTCAACATGATCAATTTCATTAACTTTTTGACAACCCAACACACAGATTTATACAACTTCTTAATTGTTATTTATGATATTTATATTGAAATCTCAATAATATCCTATTACAGCATAAACCCCTGAGATAATTCTCCATTTTCATGACCCAATCTTAAATCAAAAAATTATATTCTTATTTATATCTCTACTCTTTTATATATATAACAAATCCAAAATACATAACTATTTATTTATATCTCCAAATCATTTATCTTCAAAATATATTTGTTGATCAGTGTAAATATCACACGAATTAAAACTGCAAATCATATACACAATCTTTAATCTACTATTCTAAGTCTCTATTTTCAAAATATTTCATCCGTTGTTCTTGCTTCACTTATTTAATAGATTTCTTATTGATTAAAACTATGATATCTATCAAAAGGATACACCAAAATGCAACTCACTTTCAATTTCCTTTGCAAGCATCTACATAAACAATATAAGAAGATATGAAATCAATATAATTGAAAATCAATGTGATAGATTTCTTATTAATTAAAAAGTCTCTATTTTATCACTCATAAGTTTGATTCATCTATATGTTGGCACGACATTAAAATTCTCATCTTAAATAATGATACCAAAAAGCATATTATTCAGCAAGTTGGCATCCTCTTAGCATTTAAAACTCTATTGAAAAATTTTATTAACCAAATCACTATTCTGTAACCCATAAATATCCAAATCAAAAATATATCTCACATCACCCAAAAGCATTACTACTGTACATCAATCTATAATATAAATTATTATTTTATTCATTATACTATTTGAATGTAATAATTTCATTGAAAATTCACTTTACCAAATTCTTAAAGTAGCATTTCATCTTTCGTTGATGCCTTCATCTTCAATAAACACCTTATTATCTTCAGTTCTAAAGCATTTAACTTGATCAAAGCCATTAGATATAAAATTCAGGCCATAAATATTTTCATATATCACGTTCTCATTTCTAAGTACCAAGTCTATGTTCCTTCATCTTCAATTAACACATTGTTATTTCAATAGCATTTCATCTTTCGTTGATGCCTTCATCTTCAATAAACACCTTATTATCTTCAGTTCTAAAGCATTTAACTTGATCAAAGCCATTAGATATAAAATTCAGGCCATAAATATTTTCATATATCACGTTCTCATTTCTAAGTACCAAGTCTATGTTCCTTCATCTTCAATTAACACATTGTTATTTCAACTTTTAAAGCATTTAACTTGATCAAAGTCATTGGATATATTATTCATTGCCTTAAATATTTCCATATATCACGTTCTCATTCCTAACTACTAAGCCTATAACACAAATCATGAAAGAAAATTAATTTTTTTCCCATTAGATAGAACGTAAACCACACTATATCTGATAACATTCCTGATGCGGACATCGGCACGAAGATTTGGCGAATCTATCACAGGAGGCGTCGTAAATCGACAGCTCTAATTTACATTGTCATTTATGATTTATTTTATGAATTTTAGCTCTTATTTTATATTATTTCATGTTCTACCCCTAGCTTGGTTTATTTGAGTGTTGTGGCCCAAGGGGCAATTTTGTAATTTTTGATTTTTCTCATGTTGTGGTCTATATATAGGGCCTTAAGCTATTGTAATAAGGAGGATTTATTGATATGAAAAAATATTTTTCCACACTTGTGTTCTTCTTGAGAGAGAACGAGAGTGG